TCGATTGCGTCGATTGCGTCGATTGCGTCGATTGCGTCGATTGCGTCGATTGCGTCGATTGCGTCGATTGCGTCGATTGCGTCGATTGCGTCTTTCGGATTTGATTTTTTTGTTTTGCAGGAATATCTAGATTCGAGGACAACCACTTCTACTATCCTGCGGGCAACTGTACACAGTTTTGCCGAGCCATAGATGATTCATGAGACTTGTCACTCGTACGTTTCACGAGGTAAGATGCTTTTGTTAAATTTTGGATTTATAGTTTTACAATGTTAGTTGACTTATTTTCAGGTGTGATTCTGTTTTTGCAGGATATTGTTCTACGTATCAAGTTCAGGGACAGGAGACAGCTAGGCCATCAATCACCATCCCAATCACCGATATTCACGGATTATTGTGCAACTGGCATTTTCGTATTAAATCAGTAGTTTCTACATTCTTGTTTTACTTTGAATTGTACCTTGAACCGGTTTGGGGAGGAGGGAGGGGGAGGGGAAAGGTTTGGCCAGGAGGGGAGAGGGTTACAGCTCTACCTTTAAATCATTTAATTTTTTTAGTGAATATTGTAGAATATGCTTGAGTATGCTTGAATATTATTGAATGCATTTGAATTGGAGTTCGTGCACCCTTGACTAATACCCAATACTTTACGGGAAAAAATCAAAATCCTTACGTCAACCGTCAATCTGTTTTAAAACTACGGGGAATATTTTACTTTTACTTTCGGGTAGAGGCAGCCATTAGGGACTCTAAAAATGGAGGAACTCACTGTCACAGTGTATGCTGCTGTGTAGCAGAAGGTGGACTGCGACTTACAGAAAAGATGTGATACCGTCTTATTCTTAAAGATTTTTAGAGGAGAGTTTTGACAAAGGAGTTTTGCCGCCATTTTGAGAAAGGATTAAAAAGACATTAGAGAGAGCAGATGGATTACGCTGTGCACATTAATAAAAGGCGAGGACACAGAACGAAAAGGGCGTGCGTAGCAAAAAAACTCCAGTTTCCCCCCTTGGAATTTAATTAAACGACGAATCTTCTCTCTTTTTCAATAACGTTTGGGCTGCGAGAGGGAAAAAACAACAGCGACAGCAATTGTGGCGGCGCATACATCAGAGATAAGGCGCGTAATTTGAAAACTGCGATGGGCATTACACCGGTGGCAGCGAGTTCGAAAGAGGGACGTGAAAAGCGAAAATCTAACAAGTTCAAAACAAGGGGAACGTGACGAAATCAAAATTTGGCAACATGAAGAGATATTGGTCACTTTTTAAACATTTTGGACAGTTTTCATTTGTGATAAGCCAACTCCTTCAGTTGATGGCGTGAACTTGGAAGTGGAAACCCGTTTCTTCCCTCAGACCGACCGGCACGGCTCTCTCTCTCTCTCTCTCTCTCTAGTCAGGGACGCACCCCTGCCCGGACCGCCCACCCGCCCCGCTCTCTGACTGACTGCTTCTTCTAGTGCTCCCTAGGGCCACGTTCCGGGTAGACTTCGCGCAATTCAAAATGTCTGGCGCCCCACGAGGGGTTGCCCCCCCTCAAACCGGCCTCCACTCCCCTTCTCCCACTTTCCCCCACGTGCCCTTGCCTTGTCCCTCCTGCTTTGGGGAGAGAAAAAAAGGTGGAAGAGAAAGTAGAAAAAGGGCTGAAAGAAATAGGGGCACACAGCACTTGTGGCCTTATAAAAAGGTCAAGTGAGTATTGCCGACACAAAACCGCCCCTGGAGCACCGAGCCCAGCGAAAACAGGAAACTTTCACCTCGTACGTGGTATGTGTGAAGTAATTATCATAATTATCTTGAGGAAGAGCAGAACTGCTGTTAGCAGTGTAGGCCGGGGAGCATCAACAGAGTCCAAAGCGGCACTAACCCTCATTATCAAAGCGCGTGGAATCCCCCC